TCTTCCATTTCTTCAGAGTCCGGTCCTTATGCTCCCTCCAGAACTGAAGCTGTTTTTTTCCCCATCAGTCTCATAGGTGGATTTCTTTTGGCTACACAGCTGCTTACTTCCAATTCCTTGAGTTCCCTTCACACTGTGAGTGTGTAAATGCTTTTACTTTCACTATTAAATATCGCTGAGTTTTACTGTTGCTTTTCTATGATTTATTTTTACCAAAGATTTAAATGATTACAAATCACCACCATCAAAATTTTTCCTGACCACATTCTAGTTTAATACACTGGACACTTTTTAACCTGGTTAATAGTCTCTGTACATATTTTCTCTGCTTGATACATGTTAAAAAATTTGACCCTTTTAAAACAAAGGAAAATCTTGTCCATGATGAAAGAATGTATCTGTCGACATGATAGTTTAAAAAAGTAAGAAGCAACTCACTGCACAAGTGAGTAGTAATTAAAGGCTATATACCTACATCCGTCGACAATCGGAAAAACAGTTTCAAGACAGTTATCAAGCTCCTCTCTTGTGGAACCAACTTCCAGTTTCTGTCTGTGAGGCTGACACTCTGTCTACTTTTAAGATTAGACTGAAGACTTTCCTTTTTGATAAATCCTATAGTTAGACTTAGGTTTCCTGGATTATTCTTCATTTCTGCTGCTATAGACTTAGACTGCTGGAGCACAAACTGAGCACATTTCCTCACTCTGCTGTTGTCTTTAGTCTCTCTTCTCTACATGTTTATTGTAATTATTTCTATCAATAATATGTTTTTTCTTTGTCTCTTTTCCAGAGGAAAATACACCTGGACCAGATCTTCTGTGTTTGGCTGTGTCTCTTTCCTGTCCCCACAAACCCAGCCGGTAGAGGCAGATGGCCGCCTGTCCTTAGCCTGGTTCTGCTGGAGGTTTCTTCCTGTTAAAATGGAGATTTCTCTCTCCACGGTCACCAATGTGCTGCTCAGGATGGGACTCTGACTGAACTGAAATGCTCTCACCTTTTTCTTAAATCCAAATGGTGATCTTTATTTTGGCCAAGCAGTGTACATGCATTTACACACATAAAGTAGTTTTTCAGTAGTGCACATGACAAGTAAAGACTCTGACTGCACAGATTCAGCAGGTTGTCTTTATTTCTTCGGCATTCATGATTGATACACAGCAACATACGATGAAGCTACAGAAGCCTTCAGTACTGACAGTGTTAATGAATAGAACAAACAACAAGAAGGCAGAGGATTGATACAATCACAAGAAAAAATATCTACTTCATGGCACTTCTGTTTTGTTTACACTCTGAATAATATTGCTTTGAAAACACAACTTATCAATCCTTACTACTGTTTTATTCTGTTATAGTTTGACTGCAGTTAAAAATTAAATAGTCATTTATTGCTAACATCAAACAGAGCTAACATTAGGTATATATTATTGTTTTGTGTAACAGTACAAAGTTTACAGAAAAGAAGAGGATGAACTGAGGACATGCAGAAGGAGTTTATGGAAGGAGGTGGTACATCACGGATCTCACAGCCTCTGACACATGCAGTCCTTTAGTCACAAGGTACAATCCTGTTTCCCATTGATTGCTTTTTAAAGCTACGATACACAACTCTGAGCCTTAAATAAGTTCACATGCCAACAGAGGTGCTTCAAAGCCATCAGCAAATTAGGGCACTAAGAAGTAACAACACACACACACACACACACACACACACACACACACACACACACACACNCACACACACACACACACACACACACCTTTATTATTATCCCTGTCAAACAAATATTTTTCTATTTATATCCCAAACCCATAAAACCCAGTGTTAGTCCTCACACACAGCCCGCAAGTTCAGTTCAACTCCAACAAACACAAACGTTTATAAAAGCTTACAACTCCTGAAAGAAAAAGAAAACAAGATCATTTATTTCTTCCATTTTCTCAAACTTCAACCCTGCTTTTCTGTATAAAGACTAGAGGGTTGGACTATGAAGCCAGGGTTCCTGCTTTGTCAGCTTTAAGCTTAATTTCAGKTTTCAGAATCACAAAGTCTGAGTTAAAGTAACAAAAGACCACTATGGTAGAACCATAATTTCTTAGACTTTTAGGTTTTGCCAAGCCCAGCTAAGAGAAGAAAGCCCAGCTTTGTTGAACTTCTTCTGTAGTACCCTTCTCCATCTTGTTTAAATGGGTTAACCCTGACCCGTAAATCTAGAAGAAGATAATGAGTAAATTGTGATTTACATAAGGAGCACCATGGATTGTCATCTCACATAGAAATATAAATAAATGATGTTCAGTGACATCATTTCAGTACCTTCAGTCATAGATCTGCAAGAAAATACAAAAATAAAAATACAGGTTGGCTTATTGAGTTGCTGTACAACTTTCAATTTGCTCAAACAGAAAATATTAACCAGTTATCATTACTTAAAAAAAGCTTGTAAACCGATTGCACTCAGTGTTTATTCACTAGTTCAGTGCACTCAATTTCTTAAGTGCAATTGGTTTACAAGCTTTTTTTACGTAATGATAACTAACGGATTTTTTTCAAGGAACCCCAATCATCAAAATAAGTGGATCACAACTGTAATAAATAAATAAATAAATAAATAAAAAATAAACAACTGGAGCACCACTAATTACTAATGAATTTATTATCAGGTAGGTCTTAGTGGTTTTTTTTTTTTGTATTACTATATTTTTACAGGCAATTCTCAGCCAGAGTTAACCAGTACAATTGGAACTAATAGGGTAATGTAGGTAATTAGCCATCTGTAAATGCATCTGTATCATTATACTTATTTTTCCCATTGTTACTTATTGTTATTTTTGGTATTTATCAATTAGGTGAGGCTACAGCCTTCAGCAGCTTTCTGCTGATCACCGGAAACTGCATCTGGGTCCTCACTCACAGCCAAGACACCTGGTCTCTCTGTCTAATCTTCAGTAGTAATTTGATTTCATCATATTACTCTCAGAAATGCTCTTTGGACAATATGACCAGTGTTTGTGGCTCTGACTAATGTCTGATAGGGCAGAGTGGACATCTGTGATTTGTAGTGAGAGTAGGGAGCAGGTGAGGACAGTCTGGAGAGGTGGAGGAATGAAAGACAGAATTCATATGTGTGACTGAGAGGGAGACAGGTGGTCAGACAGTCCTGGAGTTGAACATTCAAATCAACAAGCAGAACACAAGAGAAGTGAAAAAAGAGCAGCAGGGTTTAGTAGGTGGAGATGAGTGTCAGGGAGGATTTGTGATGAAAAGAGAGCTGCAGGTGTGAAAGAGAAGGTTTACAGGATGGTAATGAGACCTGCTGTGATGTTTGTTTGGAGACTCTAAGAAAAAGATGAGACTGGATGTGGACGATGAACACGTTGGGATTTTACTGGGAGGTACAAAAATGGACAGGGTTAGAAATAAGTCTAAAGATGGTCAAATCATATTTTTTGGCCAAGTTAGACGTGAACAAAGCTGAGACAGAGGACATATTGGACAAATGATGCTGATTATGAAGCTGCTGGGGAAGAGGGTAAAAAGAAAGGCTGGTGTGACAAAAGAGGATGCTGGGAGATGTGGAGACCTCAGAAATGAGCAGCTCACAGAAGAACACAAGATTTCTATTCTTTCAGAATTAAACCGAGTCCAGAAACAAGATGTTCTGACCACCAGAGGGAACCAAACTGATTGGATACTTAAAGATTCTACACACAAGTGAAAACACCAAAGTTAAAGTGTTGCTTTTTAAGTCTCATGGCTTTAGGAAACTGAAAGAGCTGGAGGGAGGGGAGGGAGTAAATCCTGGATGTGCTTCATGAAAAGCAAGTGTGGGCTGCAGCAGGAATAAAATCCAAATATGTTTTAGGATTTAACTTAAATGGTGCTATCTTATAAAAATGACGTTTTAATAAGTTGTTAGTTGGATGTCGGACATCTTTACTTTTGTTTCGGTGTGTGCTGAACAAACTCAAGACTACATCCACACAGATTATGTAACAATTTCTGCTGTCGTTTCATTTTTCCATCACCCCCCCCACTCTTAACATTTCTCTCCCTTTTCTCTTCCATTTTCCATCAATCCATCAGACCATGCCGGCCAGAGGCTGAGCCAGCACTCTGTCACATTATCTCACTGCTGAGTGAATTACTCTGCCTCCATTAGACTAACAAGAAACCAGGAGAACATGAGGAGACAGAGGGGGAGGGGCACATCAAACCAGGACTAGGAGAAAGGACACACAGTGAAGAAACATGATGAGGAGGAGGAGAAGAGGAGTCAGGAGGAGGAAGGGATAAAAAGAACATGGAAATAAGAAATACAAAGAGATCGTTCGAGTGAGAGGAAGAGTGAAAGACAGAAGGAAAAGAATTTAGACAGCGGAAAATGAGGGAAGACAATAAGGACAATAGGACAAGGATAACAGAAAGAGAAGGAAGATGGCAAGAAAAGAAGGATGGCAGAAATGTCAGGACGACGGTCTACGACAATATTTATGAGCTGAAATGTATCCCTCTGACCAAYGCCAGTAAATCTGTTCAGTCTGGTCGACAAGTCAACCATTTTGGAACATTGACACTAATACTGACACTACTTTTAGCTAACAGTTATGACTGAGTCCGGAGGCATGTTTTGTTTAATTAATATCAGAAGCTTACATTCAGTTAAAAAATATTTTGGTGAGATTGTCCTGGATTGGAAAATCTTTGAATCAGCAGATTTTTCAGTTCTGATATGGGCACTGGATCAGAATAAAAATGAATGTGGATCGCTAAATGATAGGAAAGTGGTTCCAAAAGAAATCATAATTAGGTAAAACCACGCCTAAGTAAGATTACTAGATAATCTGGAGCAGAATATTCCTCAGAAGACAAATGTTTTAAGATGGTGAGATGAGCATAATGAAGAGTTCAGCAGCAGAGCCACAGGTTGATGGAGAACAGAGTTAAACTGAGGGGCTTCTGACACACACACACACACACATACACATACATATACACACACACACACACACACACACATACAGTAACCAAAAATCTCCTCAAATTAATAAAATGTTTCCTCCACAGTCCCTTGTTTTCACACACACATACCTACACACACCCACCCACACACACATACACCAAGATACAGTATGTTTCAATAAATAGTATAAATATTGTAAATAAATATAAACAGTGCTAAGATGTGTGTGTGTTGTGAAGTCAGATTTCATTGAGGGACTACAGAGGAAATGACACAATGTTTGTTCCCTCCCCATCATGTCATTATCCTATCACTACAGGGATAGGTGGTCTAAAAGGTCAGGGATGTCAGATGTCAGTGGTCTCAGACGTTGGGGGTCTCAGAGGTCAGAACACTCAGAGGTCAGAACACTCAGAGGTCAGGTCTCCTAGTGGTCTCAGAGGTGAGGTGTGTAAAAACTACACTGGTCTTAGAGGTTAGTGGTCTTAGAGGTCAAGAGTCTTAAATGTCAGAGGTCAGAGCTAACGGTAGTCTCAGAAGTCAGGGGTCTCGAATGTCAGTGGTCTGAACCTTGGTAGTCTCACAAGTTGGGGCTCACAGAGGTCTGGGGTCTCAGAGGTTGGTGGTTTCAGAGGTCTGGGGTCTTAAAGGTCAGGGCTCTAAGAGGTCAGGGTTCTCAGAATTTGGTAGTATTAGAGAACAGAAGCTCTCAGAGTCAGGGCTCACAGAGGTTGGGGTCTTTAGAGGTCAGTGGTCTCAAAGGTCGGTACAGCGCTCTTGCTTGCTGTAGTGATCAAACTGACTCTTCCAGTGCATCATGTAGGAGGACCAGCGGTGGAACTCCAGCTTCCACTGACGCTCTGCTTCATCTATGTTACCTAAGAGAACAAACAAGGATACAAATTGTTAGTCAAGAAATTTCAGCGGGTTTACCAAGGCAGTTCTTGAGCACACAAGAAAATTTTGCTCCCAGTGAGAGACAAGGATGTCATTGTCTGAGAACACACACTATTCTTCATGTATGACCTGTTGATTCTGGAACATATACAAAATCCCTGTTCAGAACTTTTGAAGTTTAGTTGTTTTTTTCAACATTTAACTAATTAAAATTGCCATGGAGCCAAATCCAGAGACCCAGGAGCTTTAGGATTCTGCACAGTATTTTAGCTGTCTAGGTGTGAACGGGCTGGCAGGTTGGTGTAGTGGTTAAAGATGCTGCCCAGAGAAACAGAAGATCAAAGACAGAAGTTCAGGTCAAGTCAATCTCTAGAGGCATAATGTGCAAAACTCAGGCATGATCTGCCCTGGATGTTGGAGGACCAGGACATTCTGATATGAAATGGGCTAMTGGAACAAGACAGTCACCACAATGGAAACAAGTGATTCTCACTTTCTTGTGTTATCCAAGTACTAATAATGAATGTACTAGATGTGTATATACATGCAATATTACTGCTAAATAAAATCAATCAATCAATCAATCAATGAAATGAAATGAAATGATTGAAATGAAAGAACGACTCGCTCCCAGACTAGAAAGCAGAGTTTTATAAGATATAGTCAAACCGTGAAAAACTAAGCTTGTTTGTTTGTGCTGAATGCGCTGCTGCACTCTGTAAAAAAAGATGGAACCCCACCCCCCCCAACTCACTCCCAGAGCTGACAACAGGAAGTACAGTTTTATAAAGATAGTCATTCCGTGAAAAACTCATGAATGGAGATTAAACAGACGTTGTGCACGGAGGAATCTGACTGATAAAAACTGTGGAGCTTTAACCAGGACAGATGTGGATAAATACGTCAGGTGAGTGACAAGTCTGACTTTTTTTTCTGCATTATTGGCTGTTGTGGGGGAACTCCATGCAGTGACGTATGGTTCAGCGGGAGGGGGGTTTCCTGAACTCGGCGCGGGGTGTCGTAGGGACTTTGAAAGGTCTGTGTGAAAATGACTGCCAAACAACCACATGACCACACGTCGACCCGTCGGCATCAGAGTGAGTATGTTTCAGGTTTAAGGGAGAGCCCAGACACCCTGCGGAGGAAACTCATTTCAGCTGCTTGTATCTGCAATCTCATTCTTTCGGTCTCTACCCAAAGCTTGTGACCATAGACGAGGGGTCCATTGCACATTCCACCCTACCCCTACAGCCCCTCCCACAGGTGGTGAGCCCATGGGAAGGGGGACCCACGTCACCTCTTCGGGCTGTGCCCAACCGGGCTCCATGGGTGAAAGCCCGACCACCAGGCGCTTGCCAACGTGCCCCACTTCCAGGCCTGGCTCCAGAGTGGGGCCCCGGGGACCCACGTCCAGGTGAGGGAACTAGGTCCATTGTTAGAACTCATCATAAGGGTCTTTGGGCTGCACTTTGTCTGATTCCTCACCTAGGACCTGTTTTTCTTGGGTGACTCTAGCAGGAGCATGAAGCCCCCGACAACATAGCTCCTAGGATCACTGGGACACTCAAACCTCTCCACCATGATAAGGTGGCAGCCCAGGGCAAGTAGGGGTCTCTACAGTACATGTTGTCCTGTGGGTGGAGATGGCCCTACCCGTGATTGGCAGAGGTCTTGGTGTGAGCGTGATTTTTCCTAACCACGATTGGTCAGATTGACATGTCTTGTGGGGCAACTTAAAAGAGGAAGTAATAATAGTAAAAAATATGACTTATTGACTGCCTATGTACAGTTTAAAACAGAACAATGAGTCAAATAAAAATTATTGTGAACACATAAACATATTTTGACTTAAAATTTCATGCAACAAGCTTCTTCCTGTCTCAAGTTATGACTAATATTCATATATTCATATAGATTTTTAGCTATCCTTTTACAGGCTGGTTAAGGATGTTTTGACCTGGCCAAATTGTTACACATACAGCGGGTAAAATAAGTATTGAACACGTCACCATTTTTATCAGTAAATACATTACTAGAGGTGCTAATGACATGAAATTTTCACGAGATGTTGGTAACAACCCAAGTGATCCATACATACAAAGAAATCAACCCACAAACGTCCAGAAATGAAGTTATTTGTAATAATGTGGAACGGCACAGGGAAAAAGTATTGAACACACTTACTGAAATTTATCTAATACTTTGTACAAAAGCCTTTGTTGTCAATGACAGCTTCAAGAC